CAGTATTTGGTGCATAATTCTGTAAGAATGGTTTTGAATTGGATAGGGAAGTTTTTATCTAACTTGTCTAAAATTTCGGTGTGATTATTATTAGGATTGGTATTTATTATGTCATAATCATCTAATTCAATGATTGCATTTTTATTTGTTGTATTTAATATTCGGACGAAGGTGTTTTGAGAGTCTGAAATAGAGTTTCCAATGTATACTCCATTTTGAATCTCTTGATTTGGTATGAATATATATTCAGTTGCTGTATTTATAGCAATCTTTTGGGACAACTTCGGATCGTGCTGGTAAAATTGTTAAATTGTTTTCTAGTGTATGATATATTGGAATATTGATGGGATAATTGAAATTATTTGGTCTCAGGATGAGCCAATCATTTTCTGGTTTTAAGTCTATTTGACAATTGAATTTTTTCATGAAATCTATACCAATTATTCCATCGCAAGGAATGGGAAAGTTTGAATCTACTATATGAAAATTATGTGGAATAGCATATTTTCCTGAGAGAAGTTCTATGAATGCTAATCCTTTGGAATTGGTTGAACCTTCACCAATACATGATATTTGTGTGATATTTTTGTAATCTATGTTACGAAATGTGTCTGTATTTTCTTTTATTAAAGATATGTCCGCACCTGTATCTACCAATAATGTATACATGTTGTGTGTTTTTTCATTTTGTAATGAAACAAAAAGGTTGAAATTAAGATTGATAGTGTGAACCGTTACTGTTTTTGTTTTCTTAAGGGGGCTTACTGGTTTTCCGGTGTGGTTTGCACCTGTCGGACATTATTATTTTGCCTGTGGGAGTTGGCATTATTACCACTATAGAACCCACCGTTCTGACGGTTGTTTCCTCTATAGTTTGTATTGTTGTTATTACTATTGTTGTAACGTCGAAAATTTCCTCTGAAATTTCCGCGTCCTCGGCTTTGGCTACTTTGGTAACTACCTCGGTAATTACCTTGGTATCCACCTCGGCTTCCGCCTCGGTATGAGTTTCCTCTATATGAGTTATTACTCTGCCGATTATAGTACAGTACGGTATCAGTTTTACCGGTTGCATCTGTGCAACTGTTTACGAACTTGGAGACAGCTTCGTTCATGTTATTGAACTGTCCCGCTTCCATGATAAGTTTAACTTTTTCGATGGAGCAATTCTTCGTCATAGCTTTTACAGCTTGTTGGGTTGAATATTTAGTGGCAAGGGAAAGAGAAATTCCGTCTGCAATGTAGGCGCTTTCTAGAGCCTTTTTTCAATTGTTGAATTTCTTGAGTATAGACGTTTGCAGTTTTATTTTTTCTGTTGGACGTTCAACATTTTAGCGTTTACTACTTCAACTGACTCGCCTTTTACGTCATTTTTAAGCTTACGAATGACGTCTGCTATTGTTGTTTCTGATTCTATTAAGTTCCTGGCATGTCCTTTAAGTTTTGATTTAAGGACGGATACAGCTAAAACTTCATGAGTTCTTTTAATGGAATCTACTATTTCTAGTGCGTCTAGGAAACTTCTCAGATTTTCGTGTTTACCATCGAAATCTGGAATAAGCCTGGAGGCCTGAGGTCAGTTTCTAGTATTACTTGTTCTGCTATATGTATTGTATCGGGCAGAAATGATTTATTAAAGCTGGCTAGACTGGTGTAATTGTTCTGATTTTAAGAAGTTTTTCTTGTAGGTTTGCTAATACTTCTATAATTTGGGTTTCATGTAAATCTGAAAGTCTTTCTTGGCAATTTTGATAGATAAGTACTATTTTATTATATTGTGCAATAAGTATTTCTGTATGCTTTGTTATAGTTTAGATTGTTTTTATTTAAACATTTAAAAGATCTATCAAATTCTGCTCTAATTCTTACAATTGCTTTTCTTATCGGTATCCAACCATTGTCCATAGATAATCGGATATTTTGAAATAATTTTATTTAATTAATTTTTTTTTTTTATATATATATATTTGTGTTTATAAAGAGGTTGTTGCGTACTTTTTCATTAATATCTTATTGTGCATTGCATACAATTTTAGCAAAAGCATTGTGGATAGCAAAATAATTATTATTAGTAATAGTGTCCACAGTGAACCTATGTCTTCTGTGTGATCTACTATTTCAAGTTTATTGACGACATTTGCCGTCGGATTTTCGATCTTTGATTCTGTTTTACCCATGATTGAATTATTGGGTTTTTCTTTTATCTCAAAAATTATTTTTAAAATTTGATATATTATTATACCAATTATCATTACATTTGTGTCCTACCTAATAGCCGAATGGCTTTACAGGCCAATCTATTTTACCGGTCGACTCAATTGTCGTCGGGTATTACACAAATTAAATTTATTTATATTGTTTTAATAGTATTTAATATTATTTTGATGGGCGTTCTCTGTAACGCTATCGGTCCGTGGCCCAGCTTGTCCCGCTGGCGGTGCCGGTGCTGTGTCTTCGCACAGCCTAGTTGGATTGGGTTCTGGAGCTGGTCATCTCGCAGGCTGATGGGGTGCCGGCGCTGGTCATCTCTTTCCGTTTCGGCAACACCCATATGCAAGTGTTGTTGCACGTCGGGCTGTAGAGTGGCCCTTGGCAGTCTCCAGGGCACTTCTTTTGTTGTTTTGGTATGGCTCTGGGGGCAGGACGGTGATTAATAAGTTGTCTATTTTGTTTTTGTGTTGTGGCACAGGGTGAGCTTTTACTTTTTAATAGCGACTCGAGGTGTTCGAGTTCGCTCTGTAACTTCACTGCGACTTTCCACTTCGGGGGATTGTCGTTTTTATACAGAAGTTTAACGATATCAGACTTTCTCTTTCTGATTCGTTCTTTTAAATCACTTCTTCTGGGTTTAAGTTTAATTTGGGTGCTCATCCCTGTACTCACTCGGATATTTCTTTGCTGTTTCTGTCCTTATTATTCCAGTTGGACCAGTTGTTCATCACTGTCCTTAGTGTTCCAGTTGTTCCAGTTGGGCCAGTTGTTCATCATTGTATTTATGCAGCAGTAACACCATAGCACGGAACACAATAATGCAATCACACAATTTAACTGTTCCTTTGGCATGGCCACAGCCTTTAATATGATTTGATTAAGATGTTAAAATTATTAAGTTGTTTTAATCGAGCAGTGTCGAATTTGTCACAGTCGCCATGATATGTTACAGCTCAGCGAAACAATACCGCTAAGTTTGGTGGCTTAATTCAGAATGTTAATTGAATATCTTTTTGTTCTTATCCTAGGGTACAATCATTCTTATGTATAACGGAGAGCGAGAGTTCTCCCATGCATTATATGAAAAGAGTATCACCGCATAAGTATTAGTGCGCGTGGTCTCTGCCTGAGTCTAATGGAAATGCAAGATCAGCGTTAAGGAGCTTTTGAGAGAGAGACCCATCGCCTCAGTGTTAGGGCGTTTGGGTTCTGCCTGAGTTCGGGTAAATGCCTGCTCAGCAGTTTTGGTAGCTGACCGATCTGAATTCAAGTCTTAGATTGTTGCTGTGCAAAAGGAATGTGTAACGTCAACATAAGTTGTTTATGTCACTGCTCATATGTACGCGCTTATATATGTATTTATATATATAACAGAGTGTTACATATGTACATGCGTGGGTTCACTACAGTTTACCCAAAAACCTAAAATGAATATTAAAACAAATTCTTTAAATTTAAAATGTCTAACCCCAACCCCAACCCTAACCCACCCGATGCTACCACGCGCCCATCGCTGCTACTCTATATAGTTGGCTTTTTTGCAAAGCCAGCCTCATCATTGTAAGTAAATTAGTGGGGTAGGGAATCGGAAATGAAATGAACTACACCCTCTGCCTACTCGTAGGTGGCTCCATGGAGCAACTGCTTAAACAGATTGAAAAGGATTTCTTGAGCAATTTTTTTGTCTATTGTATTTTCAATTCTTGCGAGACAAAAACTTTGAAAGCTCGGGAAAAGTCGAAAAAAAATAATTCTTTGCCTGGGACTTCCTCCGAGCAGAGCGAATCAGCCACCAAATGTGAGCCCTTTCCGAGGTCTCACACCAAAGACAATACTCGTATTCAAATGCATTACACTCTGGCAAGTACAGATGAAATCCTTTATTAAACAATACTCAGAAGATCAGAAAGCAAAAAGGTGTGACAGGTATTTATGGCAAATGCCAAAGAGTGGCAAAAAGTGGCAAAAAAAAAGTCTCCCTTTAACCATTTCTGGCTACATATTCCTTTATTTTGGTAACATATTTCATAAACTAATTGCAAACATTCAAATTTTTGTGCGACTTATTTTTCTAGAAATTTCCATAAATCAGCCACAAATGCAAATACAAAAAAAAATTAATTAAATCTGTTTCAAAATGTTTCAATTTCACAGTCACACAGTCACAGCAAGAAGGCCTTGTGCCCCTGTGTTCCCCTTTTCTTTAGCCACCCTCTTTAGGGAAAACCCCCATAATGATAGTTTAGCACTCAAATTTGTTCATCGTAAATCGGGCAACATCTTAAACCGAGAAAAGAACAACAACAAAGGGGATAACAGAACATTCCAGGCGGCCTTCACCAAAATCACTCTCCCCTTTAGTACATTTCAATTGAAGTTTAAAGATAGCTAGTCCATAGGATTATTAACGATTGTTATTTGCATTTGGAAAGTAGAACTTACATTGAAATGAAGCTCGGCATGTTCAAGAACTTTAACGGCCCCGGCCACATTTCCTCAAAGATCGAATCGTTGCCAAACTCGTCCGCTGGCCTGGACAGCGTGGAGTGGAGGGTACGTGCTAAGCATGGGACGTACTTCAAGTAATGTCTGCTCATATGATCTATAAACGGGCATCATCTCCATTTAGAAAATAACAAATATTTCTCGAAAACACTTAAAAAAAAACAGCGCGTTTCCTTCTATTTCCCATGCAAATACTTACATACCTATATACTTATATATACTAAAAAAAACCCCATGGAACTTTAATTTCTCGTTACATTTTCTTTTGTTGTCATTCTGCATAACAATTTCCACTTGAATCAAAATTCTAACACGTGTACATAAAACAACAAATGTTTGGAACAAATATGTCTTATCGCGTGAATGCATTGTTCCTTTGGGTTCCTTGGGCTTCACCTCCTGGTGTGTGAATTGCTATTTTAATGCCATCGAGAAATACAGACGCACTGAGTACTTCGACGTGGAGCTGTACACAGACAGGTGAGAGAGGCGAATTGAGCGAATTCCGACTGTATATCCTTGGCTACATCTGTGTGCTGTATGCTGCATTCCAGAAAACCCCGAGCCTCACATGCAAGCAATCGGGTAGCGAAAACCCCGCGTCAGATGTTCCACGATATTTTCTCACCTTTGAAATGATGTGGCCAGTTTTTGCATCACCTGCCTTGTTCAAGTTCGCGTTGAAGTTGTCGTGGTGGCGCGGGCACGTCTGTATTGGCATAACAAGGAGCAGCAGGAGGAGTTCAGTAGGAATCAGGATAATAATCAACAACTTGCGGATCAGACGTGAGCTGATGATAGAACTGCTGAAGAAACAAGAAGAATGTTTTGAATTGGAGCTACAGCCAAGTGTTGGCTTCATCCCGGGCATGGTACTACGCTCGGGAAAGAAGTTAGGGACAGGAAAGTGGTGGTCGTCCACAGTGGTGCCTTCGAGCAAGAGGATAAATCAATTAGTGATTCCCCCACACCACACACTTGGCCCTTAGGTTACTCACTCTGCTCGTGGCTCGCAATTCAATAAAATATATAAAATAAAACTTTTACAAAAATTTTTTTAATTTAGAATTTCGAATTTTTCGACGAGTCTGATATTTTTTGTTTTTAGTTGTTACTTGTTTGCTCTCTATAGCAATAATACATTTTTGTTTGTTTCTAAGGGGACCTCGGTTTGACTTTTGCACAAAAGCAAATGTGATCAAATATAATTCTTTAATTTATGTGACTCCCAAGAAGCCAGAATTTGTGTGTTGTATTCCAGACATCCAGACTAGGCAATATTGTCAGTTTTATTTTATTTTATTTATTGAAGTCTAGAAACTATCTGCTAACATAAATTATGATTAAAATTAAAGGAAAAAAAAGTGGATATAGGAAATAATATAAAATTAGTGGATTGTAAGAACAGGTATATCTTACTGGCTATAATTTTAAGGGATAATTCAGGGGATAGGGTATGATAAAGATTATTATAATTAGATCATAAGTTTCGAAAAGGGTCGTCTTGAGCGTAATTAGACCTACAGAAGGGTAAAAGAAACGGACGAAAGGTACGGGTAGGTCTAAGGGGAACAGAAAAGTCAAGCAGGCCAAGAAGTGCTTCTGAGTCAACAAGCCCAACTAGGAGCTTGTGTACAAACATAACGCCGCTACAAATTCTGCGATGGCGCAAAGAAGGGAGGTCTAAAAGTTGTAGCCTCTATTGATAAGGTGGCAAGATTATATCCGAGTCCCAGTTAAAATTACGTAAGGCAAAAATTAAAAATTGTTTTTGGACCGACTCGAGAATGGACTGTTCCTTGTACTGTGGACTCCAGACACAAGAACAATATTCCAGAATCGGACGAACCAAGGAGACGTACAGTGTTTTGGTGACATACGGGTCATCAATCTCCTTGGACCAATGCTTTATAAACGCTAGAACAGCCTTAGCTTTATTTACAGTTGCAGCTATATGGCTATTAAAACACAGTCTATGATCGAAAAGAACTCCAAGGTCATTAGAACTCGAAATTCGTTCGAGGGCATGAATTCCTAGAGCGTACGAGACAAAGTGTGGAGCGCGACGGTAAAAAGTCATAAGTTTACATTTAGAAAGGTTGCACCAAATTTGCAACTCGTTTAGGTCGAGTTGAAGGCGTTTGTGCAGGTACCAATCAGAGTAGGAGAGATAGATTTTATCATCGTCAGCGTACATTAGTGTAGAGCAGTATGTTATAACTTGAGGAAGGTCATTCACAAATAAAATAAACAGAAGTGGACCTAAATGACTACCTTGTGGCACTCCTGATGTAACATTAACGACATTCGACAACACATTAGTAAACAAAACACGTTGTGTGCTGTTCCATTCGGACCAGTAGATGCGGTCAAACCAGGTTGACTCGAACTGCAAGTTGCGTGTTGAAGCTGAGTAGCTATACGGTTCCGACTGTGGCTGGTTCAATTCATTTACATGCGAAGTGGTTCCAGCACAACTAGACGCCATCCAACCAAGTTGGCTCGAACTGCAAGTTGCGTGTTGAAACTGCGTGTTCGCATTTACATGCGAAATGAATTGAACCAGTCGGAACCGTATAGCTACCCAGTTTCAGTTTACCCAGTGGTTCCAGCACAACTAAACTGCAATCCTGATATAACTACAAAGCTCAAATTTCACATCCACAAAAAAAAAGAAAATATCAACACATCACACATACTTGCATAGGTATCACTTAATAGAATTAATTATATGTAACAAAACAAAACACCAATTACACAACACCAAATGAACATTAACACTAGAAGTAGAACTAAGTTAAAAAACAGTTCGTCAACCGTAAGGGAACCAAATCAACTAATTGTACGACCACAAACCAACTATTCCACCATGGATTTAACAAACTCTGTGCCAAATAATCCAGCAGATGTATGTTCATCCTTACGTATTCCGGGCGCAATTAGATTCCTACCCGAATATGACGGTGACGCAAAAAAACTTAATGAATTTTTAGAAATGTCGAAGAAATAGGTGTCGCTCATCAAGGGTACTGAAAATAAGCCGTACGTGAAATTTTTGTTAAGATCAATTAGAAATAAGATAAGATAATAAGTGGGAAAAGCTAATGACGCCCTTACGGCATCAGAAGCTGGACTCAATTGGAATGAGATCAAGGAAGCCTTGATCATACACTGCTCTGACAAAAGAGATGAACAAACACTTTTGAAGACCCCGAGCCTCACATTCAAGCAATCGGGTAGCGAAAACACCGCGTCAGATGTTCCACGATATTTTCTCACCTTTGAAATGATGTGGCCAGTTTTTGCATCACCTGCCTTGTTCAAGTTCGCGTTGAAGTTGTCTTGGTGGCGCGGGCACGTCTGTATTGGCATAACAAGGAGCAGCAGGAGGAGTTCAGTAGGAAGCAGGATAATAATCAACAACTTGCGGATCAGACGTGAGCTGATGATAGAACTGCTGAAGAAACAAGAAGAAAGTTTTGAATTGGAGCTACAGCCAAGTGTTGGCTTCATCCCGGGCATGGTACTACGCTCGGGAAACAAGTTGGGGACAGGAAAGTGGTGGTCGTCCACAGTGGTGCCTTCGAGCAAGAGGAGAAATCAATTAGTGATTCCCCCCCACACCACACACTTGGCAATTAGGTTACTCACTCTGCTCGTGGCTCGCAATTCAATATCGCAATAGACGTGTGAATTTTGGTGTTTCCATTCTATATGAATGGATATAAAATAAAACTTTTACAAACATTTTTTTAATTTCGAATTTTTCGACGAGTCTGATATTTTTTGTTTTTAGTTGTTACTTGTTTGCTCTCTATAGCAATAATAAATTTTTGTTTATTTCTAAGGTCCCCTTTGACTTTGGGTTTGACTTTTGCACAAAAGCAAATGTGATCAAATATAATTCTTTAATTTATGTGACTCCCAAGAAGCCAGAATTTGTGTGTTGTATTCCAGACATCCAGACTAGGCAATTTTGTCAGTTTTGTTATGTTACAGCTCAGCGAAACAATACCGGTCAGCTTGGTGGCTTAATTAAGAATGTTTATTGAATATCTTTTTGTTCTTATCCTAGGGTACAATTTTTCTTATGTATAACGGAGAGCGGGAGTTGTCCCATGCATTATATGAAAAGAGTACCACCGCATAAGTATTAGTGCGCGTGGTCTCTGCCTGAGTCTAATGGAAATGCAAGATCAGCGTTAAGGAGCTTTTGAGAGAGAGACCCATCGCCTCAGTTTTAGGGCGTTTGGGTTCTGTCTGAGTTCGGGTAAATGCCTGCTCAGCAGTTTTGGTAGCTGACCGATCTGCGTTCAAGTCTTAGATCGTTGCTGTGCAAAAGGAATGTGTAACATAAACATAAGTGGTTTATGTCACTGCTCATATGCACGCGCTTATATATGTATTTATATATATAACAGAGTGTTACATATGTACAAGCAAGGGTTCACTACACCCTTCCCTTTTTAAAAAAATAACGTAATATATGAAGTTATTTAAAACAATATTTGAATTTTGTGAACTAACATGTATGTTTATGTATAAAAAAATATTTTTTGTTCTGTTTTTTTTTTGTTTTGTTTTATTTTATTTTTTTATTTTTTTTTTTTTTTTCCGATGAACTATTTATCATGGTTATATACGTGTGCTTACTTAAGTCATGGTTATTTTACGTATGCCTACCTAAGTCATGGCCATGACAGGATAAAATGAAATTATTATGAAATGAAAAGTTTTAATCTATCCTTATGTACTTTTTTTTTTTTGTCTTTTATATTTGAAATTGTTATATTATCATTTTCTCCTATACTATCTACCTTATATGGTCCAGTATATTTAAAATCTAACTTATGACCTGTTTCATTTTTCAATAAAACCTGATCTCCTGTTTTTAATTTGAAATCTAAACAGTTTTTATTATAATTAATTTTTTGTCTCTGTTTATTAGATTCTATCATTAATCTTGCTCTTTTAAAAGCTTGTTCTAGTCTAATCTTTTGTTTCTTTAGCGTAATCATCTATATTATAAAGAGGATATATTCTATCTATGCTATTAAAATGTATTGGTAAGTTCGAAGTCTTACCGAAAACTAATTCATATGGACAATAATCATGTGCCATCGAGGGGGTTGTGTTGAAGCAATATACGAAGTATTGTAGCCATACATCCCAATCTGTTTTGTCAGTTGAGATGTATGAGCGTATGAACTCATTAAAAGTTCTGTGGCTTCGCTCCACGGTTCCTACAGTCTGGTGATGATGTGTAGTGGAAGTTATGTTTTGAATATTTAAGTTTTTACATAAATCTTCAATTATTGAATTTTTGTATTCCGTTCCCATGTCCGTAATGAACGTCTTCATTGGACCGTACTTTAGAATAAAATCTTCAAATATAGCTTTAGCTACTGTTTTTGCACTTTTGTTCTTTATTGGTATGGCTACAAGGTATTTTGTCAAGTCACAGATTAAAGTTACTGCCTATTCGTTTCCTTGTTCTGATTTAGGAAGTGGACCGATCGTATCCACAATTACCCTATCAAACGCCATTTGTGGTGTTTCAGTTATAGTCAATGGGGTCTTGGTATGTTTAGTCGTTTTGGACTTTTGGCATTTGGGACACTTTCTCACATAATTTGTAATTTGACGTGTCATGTTTTTCCAATAATAATGCCTTCTTATTTTCGCTAATGTTTTAGCTATACCTGTGTGACCTCCTTGGATTGGATCATCATGGAATGTAGACAGTATCTTTTCGTTTTCTTTATTTTCTTTTATTGTGGTCACCGGCTTGAGTAGCGCTACTCTTAAATTCTTTAATATTTTATTGCCCTTGTTCATAAAAGAATCTATTGAAATGTTCTCAAAGATTTCTTCGCTCGGTGCCATTTTAAGTTGGCTGATGTTATTTATACCGGCTTCTTTTTCAAGCCTTTGGAAAAATTGACCTAAGTCGAAGGTTCCATTAGTATAAAGGTCGCTAACTTTAATTAACTTTAATACGCTACTGGTAGCTGAGTTCCATTATAATTTTGTGTTAGAACGGCACCACATGCTTGTTTACTTGCATCCGTTGTTATACAAAATTCTTTGCTAAAATCTGGATATTGCAGTAAGGTTGGTTTCATCAATTGTACTTTTAAATATTCGAATGCTTTCTGACATTTATCTGTCCATTCGAAGTTAACATTGTAGAAAAAGTATTCAATAATTGTAATTCTTTGGAAGAGAACATCCGTTCTCTATCGTTTTCTTTATTCGAATGTACTTATGAAATATATCTTAGAATTTACTTGGCTAAAGCCAGCGTAGCTGCGCTGCCAGGAACGCCGGCAGCGGAGCGGCAGCATTTATGTATTTAATGTTTATATATATGTGTATATGCCCAGCGCTGCTGACAGCGAGGGCGCGAGGGAAAATGTATATGTATGTGTGTATGCATGTGCCGTCAAGTCATGGGAATATGTTGACGCTGCACTTATGTCGCTCGAGACATTCTTGGGCGATCGTAATACGATAGCTCAAGTTATGTCTGGGACTTTTAATTACATAAACACTGCAACAAAGTGTTACAGTGTGTTCCCCTTAAGTACACTTGGTACAGTGGGTATTGGCTATGTGTGCACACTACATCTCCCTCCTTTTGAAAAATAACGTAATATATTGGAGTTATTTTATTCAAGTTATTATTTATAAAAATTATTGTCATCTATTTGTAATAATATTATGTATTAAGTATAGGAGTTTAAAAGAAATTTTCTTTGCGCAAATACATATATATGATTAAAGATTTCCAAAATAAAGTTGTTCAATTATTTTGTATTAAAATATGTTTTATGAAAATATATATATTTTTTTTCATTTGTTTTTGAATTGAATTATTGAATTTGAATTAATATTGCTGAGATTAAAATTTATAAGCTCGTGAATGGGTAATAAAATTTCAAATGTAAATTCCTTAATGTTTATTTTTCCTATGCATGGCCATGCTACAAATGATTAATGGTTAAAAATCTTTATCCTATCCTTATGTACTTTTTGTTTCTTTTTCCTATCATCAGAGATTATGATGTTATCTCTTTCTCCAATGTTTTCTACTGTATAGGGACCTGTATATTTGGAATCTAGCTTATGTCCTGATTCGTTTTTTAATAGAACTTTATCTCCTATTGATATAGTTATGTCCCTAGTTTTTAAATCATATATTTCCTTATTTTTCTGCTTATTTAATTCGAGCATATTTCTTGCTCTTTTGTATGCTACTTCTAATCTATACTTACTTTCTTTAGCGTAGTCATCTATGTTATATAAGGGTTCTATATTACCTATACTATTAAATTGTTTTGGTAAATTATTTGTTTTACCAAATACTAACTCATATGGACAGTAATTATGTGCCATTGAGGGGGTCGTGTTGAAACAGAAAACGAAATATTGAAGCCATACGTCCCAATCAGTCTTATCAACCGATATGTATGAACGTATGTACTCATTAAAAGTTCTATGACTTCTTTCTACTGTTCCTACTGTCTGGTGGTGGTGCGCTGTTGACGTTATGTTTTCTATTTTTAGATATTTACATAAGTCGTTAATGATTGAATTTTTATATTCTGTACCCATGTCCGTAATGAACGTCTTCATTGGACCGTACTTCAGAATAAATTTTTCAAAGATAGCTTTTGCTACTGTGTTTGCGCTTTTATTTGATATTGGGATGGCAACTAGATATTTTGTTAAGTCACAGATTAAGGTGACTGCATATTCGTTGCCATTTTCTGATCTTGGTAATGGACCTACGGTATCCACTATCACCCTGTCAAAAGCATGTACAGGTGTATCAGTTGTTGTTAAAGGAGTTTTAGTATGCGTAGTTGTTTTCGCTTTTTGGCATTTTGGACATTTACGAATGTACTCTGTTATTTCTTTATTCATATTTTTCCAAAAGTAATGTCTTTTGACCTTGGCCAAGGTTTTTGTTATGCCTGTATGTCCTCCTTGTATTGGATCGTCATGTAATGTAGACATTGTTGCTTCTTTTTCTTTTCTTTCTTTTACTAGGGTCACCGGGTTGAGTAGCGCTACTCTTAATGTTTTTAATATTTTATTGCCCATTTGTTTAAAATTATCTATTGAAACTTGTTCAAAGATATTTTCCCACGGTGCCACTTTGAGTTGGCTGATTTTGTGTATACCGGCTTGCTTTTCAAGCCTTTGGAAGAATTGACCTAAGTCAAGAATTCCATTAGTATATAAATCGCTAACTTCATATCTTGCTGTAATTTTCTTTCCATGTTTGAAAAAACATAAATTATTGTTTACATGCAAGGTCACTACTTTTCGTACTTCGTCGTTATTAATGACGTTATATACGTTGGGCTTTGAAGCATTTTCTTTAGATTGCGTTTGCAATTCTATTTTCTGTTCTCCTGCGCAGGATTTTTGTCTACTTTGATATCTTGTAGTGACTTTTAATATTGTTGCTGACATATTCTTTAATTCTTTGATGGTTATTCTTGATAACGCATCTGCTACATAATTATCTTTTCCCTTTAGATATTCTACTGTGAAGTCATATTCTTCTAGTTCGAGCCGCATGCGTGTAAGTTTAGAACTTGGGTTAACCATCGAAAATAGATACGTAAGTGGTCTATGGTCAGTTTTCACTGTAAAATGTTTTCCATAAATCTATGGTCGAAAATGATTAATCGCCCAGTGAATGGCTGCTAATTCCTGTTCAGTTGTACTCTTATTACTTTCACCCTTGGTGAATGATCTGGACGCGTATGCGTCTTTATGGTTTTGAGTTAAAACCGCTCCACACGC